GTTTCTGTTTCTGTTTCTGTTTCTGTTTCTGTTTCTGTTTCTGTTTCTGTTTCTGTCTCTGTCTGTCTGTCTGTCTGTCTGTCTCTCTCTCTCCCTCTCTCCCTCTCTCTCTCTCTCTCTCTCTCTCTCTCACACACACACACACACATTTTTACCTTTCAAATGCCACTGTGGAGCAGCCCAGTAACATTCATTTCCTTATCGGAATACCCCATGGTTGTAAATAATTTAGCACCATTTACATGGTACTTCTTGCTCTCGCATATTCCCCAGTCAGGACATGCATGGTCATGCTGCTGACTTGCAGATGAAGGCTGCTAAAATTCAGTGCAAGTAGGAGACATTAAATGGGGAACAGTCACTTGCTGAGATGGGCCTCCATACAAATGGAATAAATAAATAAGAACGCCATGTCACAATTCCTAGAATCGCTCCTGTTAAGGAAATAAATAATGGAGATTCAGATTTTTGACAAATTAAATGTGTGAGGGAGATACCCATTTGAATTTTGCTTTCAGTTAAGATAGATCTCAACAAGGCATTTAGGATCGCATTCATAACCATTTAATGAAAACATCACCCTTCCATGGAATATTACTGCTCCTGCTTAAATAAGCTTGGTCATATGAAACATGCTGTTACTATAGTAGCTCCTCAAACCAGGGAAAATTATAAGCATGGTAACAGGATAAAACAGGATAAAATAATTTCTTACCAATGGTTAAAACCGTATGATTTGTACTATGAAAATGCATAGTATATGGAATGGAAGGAAGCCTGTTGATCACACCTGCCCAAAGTAGGATAAAGAAAGATACTAGACAGTATCTGTGCACTGCGCATTAGAACACCATTACACCACATTTCTGGCTCTCATGGCAAACAGGCATGTGAAGGGGATCAATGCCTTCCAATCATGATGCAGGGATTCATCCTTCCTCTCTCCCTCACATCTCTTTTTTCCTCATGGGAATAAAAGTCTCCCTGTCAACTTGTAAAGTGTTTCCATGACTACTATCAAGTCGACATAGGAAGGAGGGAAGAAAGGGAGTAGAATTCCATGCATACCTTTGGCAAGAGTCAGGTCTCATATTCCTACAGCTAGTGTGTGAAATGCACATGTTCTTGCCTGCCTAGCACTTTGTTGGTGGATGTGATTTATGACACAGACAGAAGGGAGGGGATACAGGGGGTAAAGTTCAAATGCAATTAAGCAAAAATCAGTTTCTTCCCTCCT